AAACTTTAAAAATAATACTACTTCAAATAGGAGGAAACATATATGTAGTTACCTGGAATTCTAATGTTGATGGTCAAGATATATATTTAATTCTTCAAGTAGAACATGGTATTGGAGGAGCTCCAGAAACCCTTCTGCTTTGATGCCTACGATGACTGAAGGGTTCTTTTTTTTTTCCCCAAATCCCTTTTCCCTCTTTTTTATCTCACGCCACTTTGGAGGGGCAATTGCATCACTATCCGGCATTAATGCCACCATTTAGTCTGTAGCCAATTTTTATAAATTATTTAAGAAGAATTAATCCAAATAGTCGTCTACTATATCACTTGAACTAAAAATAGCCTGTGAATGTATAATATATACATAATTTATGTATTACATATGTATAATTGTGTATTATCAATGTATAATCTATATATATGCCTAGAAAAATTAATAATTAATATGACTGGCTATTTGTGTAAAAATCCCATTATTTAACTAGTACCCAGTTTATAATACAACAACAACAACAACAACAACCCAGTAAAATCCCATTAATGGGGTATCGGAGGGTAGTGTGTCCGCAGTGTGTATGCAGATCTTACCCCTACCCGAAGGAGCAGAGAGGCTGTTTCCGAAAGACCTCGGCTCAAAAAAAAAACAAAAAGAAAACTTGTACATCCTTCAACGCAGTAGATCCATCCAACACTTAGTTCTCAATGATTTTCTCTTCAACTTAAATCGTTCTCTTTATTTTTATGTAATATCTCATTCCGTTCTCTTTATTTTCTGTGTACTTTCCTGCTTAATTATTGGTTTCAGATCTAAAGCTTGAGATGAAGAGGTAATAGCTTTGGTGGAAGATGTAATGATTCACGAAGAGCATTCTTCGAACTCTTGTTGCATTTTGGTGAGTATTTTGAGCTAGGATTTCTATTTCTCTATCAATTTTTAGTTGATAATGTTGATAGATTTTCGATTTTTTTGTTTGGGTTACAGTGGGGAAAGAAGTTTAAATAGTTGAAAAATAACTACTGGAAGCTTGAAGGACGTAGAAATACTCTTCGTAAAAGTCGCTCCAGTATCCATTTCAATATAATTTTTGAGAATCTCACTCTAAAAAAGCTCTTTTTAGCCACTATATTGATACATTTGAGTTTGAACTTAGGCTTGATAGTTCAAACTTTTAAGCATATAGATTTGAAGTTGGGTCTTGCGGATTGGTCTGAAATGTGTGAAATCCAAACCGCACAAGCAATATGCCAAGGTTAATTTCAGACATACAAATCTGAAGTTGGGGACTGTCGATCCGACTGCCAACGTTAACTTCAGTCTGAAATGTCTGAAGTTCGAACGGCACATGCAATATGCCAAAATTAACTTCAGACAGATCTGAAGTTAGGTACTGCGGACTGGCAAGGTTAACTTCAGTCCAAAATGTTTGAAGTTCGAACTGCACAAGCAATATGCTGAGGTTAACTTCAGTCCGAAATGTCTGAAGTTTGAACTACACAAGCAATAAGCCAAGGTTAACTTAGGACATGCAGATCTGAAGTTGGGTACTGCAGACTGCCAAGGTTAACTTCAGTCCAAAATGTCTGAAGTTCGAACTGCACAAGCAATAAGCCAAGGTTAACTTCGGACATGCAGATCTGAAGTTGGGTACTGCGGACTGCCAAGGTGTCCAAAATGTCTGAAGTTGGAACTGCACAAGCAATATGCTGAGGTTAACTTCAGTCCGAAATGTCTGAAGTTTGAACTGTACAAGCAATAAGCCAAGGTTAACTTCGGACATGTAGATCTGAAGTTGGGTACTGCGGACTGCCAAGGTTCACTTCAGTCCAAAATGTCTGAAGTTTGAACTGTACAAGCAATAAGCCAAGGTTAACTTCGGACATGTAGATCTGAAGTTGGGTACTGCGGACTGCCAAGGTTCACTTCAGTCCAAAATGTCTGAAGTTTGAACTACACAAGCAATTCAGTCCGAAATGTCTTAAGTTCGAACTGCACAAGCAATATGCCAAAGTTAACTTCAGACATGCAGGTTTGAAGTTGTTGAAACTTCAATTATATGCAAGCCTAATATCAATATTTGTATGTTTGAAGTTGTTGAAACTTCAGACCCGAGGTCTAAAGTTTGCACTGCGACGGGCAAACTTCAGATGTAATGGATTGAAATTTGCTTGCTATTGCTGAACTTCAGACCCATGGCAGTTGTCTTTCGATCTCCATGGTGCTGTATGTAAATCCTCCTTTTTTCGCTGCTAAATTTCTATTAATGGTAACCGGAGATATTAGATTCACCAGATTTTGGATTAGCTTCTCTGTCTCGCAATCACACCATATGCAGACTAATTCTTTTCTAAGCTGGATAATTTCTTTTGTGAGTTCTATACAATTTTTGTCAAGAAAAGATGAGTGCTCGCTGTTTTAAGTTTATTAATTTCTCAGGTTGTGGGAAATTTTATGAAAATGTGAAAGAAACTCTGTATAGTCCTCTTCCAGGAGGCAATCATAATAAAACTAATTTTTGAATATCAATGCTAGATCTTGTAATTGGTTTACTTATCTAGACTATAAAGTGAAAATTTGTTAATTTCCCCCTGTACCAATAATTGTGTGCTTGTACATACTTTCTACTGCTGTTGCAAATATAGTAAAGGTTCTCTCTGCCAAGTGGTAGTGCTAAACCTTCATTTTAGTTGAGATGAACGATCATACTTAAATGTCTAAAGTTTAGGTATTGCTACAAGTGAACGTTAAGCATCGACCCTGAAGTTTGCACTGCTACAGAGATAATTGTTTTTTGAAGATTGTGTAAGCTGATGGTTAGTTCTTTCTTACCAACTGGATGTTCTTGGACATTCACCTGGTGCTTGTGCAGGTCATGTTTCTATAATTTCTTGGTTAGAGACAAGTAACAGATGTTGTAGTCTTTCAGTAAATAGGTTCTTTGCTTTAGCATAAAGTGAAAATATTGGCATTTAGCCGTAATAGAGTTCTTTTGGTCTGGATTTGTGAGTTCGAGTGCGTAGATCTGAGGCTCGAAGACCCCTAGTTCACTGCCCCAAAAGAGGTCAGGTCCGAACCGAGATTCCATGTTTATTTTTTTTCTGAGGTTTGTTTGTATATTGCTGAACTAGAAATCATGTACTAGATTTTTTTCTGCTCAGTAGTTCTCTTTAACTGGAATACTTTAAAAGAATAGTTATGCTTCAACATACTGACAAGAGTGGGTTGTTCTAGTGGTGAGCACCCTCCACTTCCAACCAAGAGGTTGTGAGTTCGAGTCACCCCAAGAGCAAGGTGGGGAGTTCTTGGAGGGAGGGAGCCGAGAGTCTATCGGAAAGAGTCTCTCTACCCCAGGTTAGGGGTAAGATCTGCGTACACGCTACTCTCCCCAAACTCCACTAGTGAAATTATACTGGGTTGTTGTTGTTGTTATGCTTCAAAATACAACTCATGGAGAAGCTCGAGCCTAACTTCTGATGCAATGTCTGATGTTAGGAACTTTCAGCTCTAATTACAGACCCAAATGTCTGAAGTTTGCACTGGTACATGTTTTCTATTATGTCTGTGTATATTAAATTAAGTTGAGTGCTGGCATTCTTTTTGTAGATGTCATCCTAAAATTTTCCTTGAGAAAATCATAAACATGAGAGTTTATTATAGAGCTCCTATTGTATGTTACATTACAATGACATTTGGTCTTTATAACGGTAGAAATTGAGATCACGAAAATATTTTCGTTGGAGGGAATGAAGAAATCGATTCATGATCCATGGTTATTCTGATGTTTGGCTAAAAATTCATGTTTTTGCATGTAATTTGCCTTGCATTATACCTCGATCTTGTTAATTTTTGTGTGAATATTTGTGACTCGAGCTTAATAATATTATTTATATGTGTAGGAGTCAATTGGAAGTGATTTGGAAAGTTTTCATGCAAAGTGAAGTAAAAAAAGGAAGAATTTAGATGAAGTATAAGTTTGGTGCCCGGGTCCCGGACAACGAAGCGAGGTTAACTTCGCGAGACCGGGACCCGAGCAGAAGAACTAGAAAAGTCTCGGACCGCGAAGCGAGGGTCACTTCGCGAGACCGGGACCGGAGCAGAAAATTTCAGCTTCTCCCATCTGAATTAGCAGAAACCCAATTTGCCCCAACAAACCCTAGCCACTATAAATACATCGAAAAACATGCTTTTAAGGTGGAGACACTACTTTGGGAGGGGAGAAGACTTTGGGAACATTATTTGGAGGCAAGAACATCACGTGGAACAACGTTTCGAGGAGAAAATCATCGAGTTCTTCATTCCTTCATCTTTTCTTTGTAATTTGTTTATGCAAAATACTTGGAAAATTGTTACTAGGAACATGAGTGGCTAAGCACTCTAGTTTCTAGGGTTGTGGTTGACGTGATTATTAACGTTTATTAATTACATCTTCGTTAATTCGGATTATCTTGTGGTTATTTTCTTAATTCTAGTTTTAACTTGTGAATTGTTGTAGTTACCAATTCACCCTACTATCTATGCTATGCTTGGGAAAGTTGTGTTTAGATTAGAGTATAATTAAATAGAGCTTGTTTCTGAACCCGTGGCTCGGGAAACGATTTTGCGGTTAGGATAGAAACATACCTAACAATCTTGCTTAGTTGAATATTGTATTATATTTGTTCATGATAGAGTCAATACCATAGAAATATAGGATTGATATATTCTGGATATGCGAGTAGTATTGTGGGAATATGCTATTCATATAAATGGTCCGGTCAATTAGCAACCACTGATAATTTGGATTAACAAGTATGGTTATTGAACTTAATAGGATTGATAAACCGACCACAACCCTGAAATTTTCATCTCCTCTGAGTAAAATCCAAAACACATGTTTGCATCCCTGATAAATTAGCTAATTACTTGCTCAATCTCTCCAAAAGTAGTTTGGTAGATAAATAACATTTTTGATTATATTGGACAGTTAATTAATTTTGGTTTGCTTAGTTAACGATTAATTTAAGTCTGTGTGGGTTCGACATCCGACTTTCGAGTCACTTTATTACTTGACGGTCACGTATACTTATGTGCACTTGGGGAACCAACAAGTTTTTGGCGCTGTTGCCGGGGACTTAGTTATTGATTGTTTATTTAAATTAAGCTTTTATTCGTTATTTGTTCAAGTTTTAATTTTCAGTTACCTTTATTTGTGATAATGCGAGCTCTTCTCTTGAATGCGGAGGAGTAGAAGTGCGAACAACCTCCTTCCTCTTGATCCTGAAATAGAACGAACACTTCACAGGGTAAGGAGGGAAATTAAATCAACCTCAACCACTTGAGATGGCAGGTAATGAAGAGCGATAAGTGATCGAGAATGCAAGTCCTAATCTTGCTAATATGACTCAGGCTATAGTGAATCCTGATATCACGGGTGTAACGACCCGACTTGTGGTTTCAAGAATTTACGCCTCGTTCAGCTACTAAAGGTCACGGGCAGCTTTGTAATATGCATTAAGACACGCGGGTATGGTCGAGTTCGGTTTTCGGAAGATGTGGAATTAAATTGAAAGAACAATTCTTATTTAGAAGGTTAAATGGAAAGAGTTGATCGGAGAGTTGACTTTTGAGCAAACGATCCCGGAATAAAATTTTGATGATATAAATAGCTTCGTATGATGATTTCGGACTTAGGTGTATGTTCGGATTTGTATTTGGAATTCCGTAGGATAATTCAACGCATTTTGGCGAAAGTTGAAAAATAGAATTTTTTTGAAAAGTTCGACCGAAGATTGAATTTTTGATAACAAGCTCGGATTTCGATTCCGGAAATATGGATAGCTCCATTGCATCATTTATGACTTGTGTGTAAAATTTGAAGTCAATCCGGATTGATTTGATAGGTTTCGGCACAAAATATAGAAGTTGAAAGATTTGAAAACTCATAATTCGATTCGATACACGATTCGTAATTTTGGTGTTATTTGACGTGGTTTGAAGCCTCTACTAAGTTCGTATTGTATTTTTGGACATGTCGGTATATTTGGTTAAATTCCCGAGGTCATCGAATGGATTTCGAAAGGTTAACTGAGCAAATTAAACTTGAAGGAAGCTGCTGGAAAATGGCAGCAACTGTTGGAATTGCACCTGCGAAATTATGCGCGCAAGTGCGACCATCCCAGAAGCGGGATGAAGCTTGCAGAAGCGAAATTTGGAAAGGAAGGCTGGGCTGGACTGAGATCTCATGTGCAACGAATTTCCTGCACCTGCATGATCGTAGAAGTGGGCAGAAGAGGCGCAGAAGCGGAACCCATCGCAGGTGCGCACTGGCCATCGCAGAAGCGATGTGCACAGTTGTGGCATTTTGTTCACAGGTGGGAGCCTTCACCTGGGTAGTGCACTTCGCATAAGTGACGATGGTGTCGTAGAAGCGACTTCGTGGATGCGAAAATGCTATCCACAAATGTGAAAACTGGGCAGAAACATAAGGATTGAACTTGGTTATTTTTGCCATTTCATTTTGGAACTTTTTGAGCTCGGACTGGGCGATTGTGGAGGGAATTTTCACAAGTTTGGTTGGGGGTAAGTGTTCTATATCCTAAAGTGTTTATATTTCATTAATCTATGATTATATTCATCATTTAAGTCGGATTCTAATGGAGGAAATCAAGATTTTTGCAAAATCTTCCAAAAACGAAAATTTAAGATTTAGAGGTCGAGTTGTTATCGGAATTTGGCAAAATTGGTATAGTTGAACTCACATCGGAATGGGTGTTCGTATTTCATAAAAATTATGCCGGGTTCCGAGGCTGACTTTTGTTGATTTTTTGGAATAAATTTTTAAGTCGACGTATTATTATCCGAAATTATTTTTGATGAATTTTAATGAAGTTATACAATTAATTTGGATAAATTTAAGCGCTCCGGAGGTCAATTCAAGCAAGAAGGCGATTTTGAAATATTGGCATAACTTTAAAAAGGTAAGTATCTTGCCTAACCTTGAGTGGGGGAATTACCCCTTAGGCATCGAATCTTATGTGCCATTTGTGAAATGTGAAAAGTCGTGTACGCGAGGTGACAAGTACGTACTCAGGTTTATATGTGCAAAATATATTGGGTTAAAATCTTAGGCATATTGCGTAGTAAATTGGATAATTGTGGGCATTTATTAAATCATCTATTTGTCATGCTTCAATTCGCGTTTGTTGAATTTGTTTTTTTATATGACCATTTGATGTGATTATTACTTGTATATTTATGTGGATTCTGTGAGTTTCATGATTTGATATTTCTTGGAATTTAATTTCATTATGGATTTTCACTCTGCAAATAATTAATGAAATAAGTTTAAACTGAGGCATTAATATAATTATCAAGAATCTGGATTAATGAAGGCGTTGCCCTATGCTGAGTATTTTCCATCTCTGTTATTGTTTTGAGGTTTTATACACATTGAGTGGAGCCTTGGAATATTTGTTGTGAAATTAATTGATTTTGTTATATCTTTGGAATTGATTGTGGTTGGGCAAATTATGATTTGAGTTGATTTTGTTATGTTGTCGTGATAATATTCTGTGTAAATTGTTGTGTTATTTGAGTTTTTATTTTGAGGATATAAGGGTGGCATTCTACTGTTGATATTATGTGGGTATAAGGGTGGCATTTCACTGTTGTTATGTGTGTAGGGATATTGTCTGGGCGGAGTGATAAGGGTGGCTATAAGAGAGATAAGGGTGGCTATAGGAGCGATAAGGGTGGCTATTGATATTGTCATGGCGGAGGGATAAGGGAGGCTATTATAGGAGTGATAAGGGTGGCTATTATCAGGGATGATATGTGATGATGTGGACTTATTGTGTTGGTAATTTTCATATGATGTTGGGATTTTCCTTGTGTTTATTTTTATAGCTTGTGCAAATTATCTTATTTTTCGGTAAATTTGATAATAGCCTGATCTATGTTGAAATTGTGAGCATGTGGCTATTGCTGGGCAGGTAATGTTATATGGGATCAAATTGCACGCCACAACAGTTATTAAACGTGGGCACGAAGTGCCGGGAAAAATATGATGGTTTTATTATTGGTACGTGAACTTTCCGTATAGATGTGATATGAAAAGTGGGCATAAGGTGCCGGGGAAATATGATAGTAGGTTGAGACCCGTGTTTACGAAAAATATAAAAGTGATCTGAGACCCGTATTTTATGATTATGAAGGGAGGTTTCACATGGTGACTTTTAATTGAAAGACTTATATTCAAAATATTTATTTGGAAAGATTTTTATTCAAAAAGATTTATGTGAAAGAATTATATTTGAAATATATTTATTTGAAGGAATTATATTTGAAAGAGATTTATTTGAAATAATTATATTTGAAATATATATATTTGAAGGGAGTATATTCGAAATATATTTATTGAAAAGTATTATATCCTGAAGATTATTATTTGAGAAGCATATAAGCGAAAGATTTATATTTGAAAGACTTGATTTAATTGGGTGTACTTGTATTTATCATTTGTTGAGCAACATAAATGGTGTTCTTGTTGCCCTGCTGTGCATATCATTGGTTGATTAGTATTTCTATTATTGTTATTTGTTTCCTATTATTTTGTATACTATATTGCACAGGTTATTAGACTAGTAAGTATCTTGACTGTACCTCGTCACTACTCTACTGAGGTTAGTCTTGATACTTACTGGGTACCGACTGTGGTGTACTCATACTATACTTCTGCATATTTTTGTACAGAACCTGGTATTGGAGATATCAGACTCAGACAGAGTTAAAGCGCGATCGCAAAGATTCAAGGTAGAGCTTCTTAGTCGTCGTAGTTCCTTAGAGTCTTTCCATTTTATTGTACTATTAATTATTAATCAAACAGTATTGAGTATTCGATCCTTGATATCATTCCATATATTTAGTTAGAGTTCGTGACTCAGTATTACCAGTCTTGGGAGATTTTCATATTTGTTCCCGCTGTTGGTTTTGATTATCTATTAAAAAAATGGCTTGAAATGTAATTGTAATCAGCTTACCTAGTCTTAGAGACTAAGTACCATCACGACGCCTATGGTGGGATTTTGGCTCGTGACAACAGGTCACTTTGAGCTCAAACAGTACATGGTACAGCTGATTCAGTCCACAGGGCAGTAAGTGGGTCTATCTCACGAAGATCCTCAACGGCATATTCTGAATGTTTTGAAAATTATGGATACTTATAATTATCCGAATATTTCCAAAGACTACGTCAGACTGACGTTGTTTCCCTTTTCACTGATGGGGGAAGCCAAAGAATGGTTGCAGAAGGATCCCGCAAACTCGATCCACAATTGGGATAATCTAGCACGGAAATTCTTAATCAAGTTTTTTCCCACCAAGAAGACAAAGTCGCTGAGGAGCCAAATTCTTGGGTTTCAATAACGAGATGGAGAGACTCTTTGTCAAGCTTGGGAAAGATACAAGAAGCTACTCAGAGACTGCCCACATCATTGTCAGACTGATGAGGTGTTGGGTCACACTTTCGTTGATAGGTTGGACGAGACATCAAAG